TTGGCGAGTGTTTGAAGGAATGTTCTTGGAGTTGTGATATATATGAATGTCTTATTTCTAACACTTCCACTAACCTAATGGAAGGTATGGTATCCATGTGAGTGACCTTATCTGACCACCTCCTAGGTGGTGGGAGAGGAAATTATGTGAGTGGACCAGAGAGGGCTCCAAGGGGTCTGGTACCCCTTTGGCAAAGTATATGCACAATTATGTGAAGCCTTCTGTTGAGCTGAAGTGTTGGTCTATCTTTACAGCCAGAATAGTGAAATGGATAGAGTGTCAGACTAGGCTTAAGAGACCTGAGTTCAAATCTCCATTTAGTCATGGAAATTCAGTGGGAAATGGTAATGATAAATCACTCCTTGGAACATCTCCTAAAAACTCTATTAGGGTTACCATTAAATAGAAAGTGATTTGTTAGCACTTAGCAGTAACAGTAATATATCATTATTACATACTGTGAAATTTTGATCAGGCTGCTTCTCTATATAGTCACCACATGTATCCAGGCACATATCACTATGCTTTATTTTATAAAGCAAAGCATTGTACCACTGTATGTTTTCCACAGTTGTGATCTTTCTGGGCTTTGTGCTTTACAAACAACAGAGATGAGGACCCTCTGGGCATCCAGGTGTTTTAGAGTACAATTCCATAGTTTCTTTCATGCAGACTGGAGTGTTTAAATGTCAGAAAAGTCTAAAACATAATGGAGGGCAGGTAGGAGCAAAGGAATTCCATTCCTGATATAATGATTATAAAGCTGAGAATGGATTGGAGCATGCGTGCCTATGCATTATTAGCTTGTCTTGCATGTGTGACAGTAGTGATAGCACCAAATATCTACTTTTTTGTGGATTCTTTGCGGCAGAGGAAATGTAAACAGCTCCTGTGAAGAACACAGATCACCTAGACAACACAGATATACATTAAGTACAAATGTGTTCTGCAGGGTTTGAGAGCCTTCTCCTGGTCTAAGCTGTTCAGTGTCCTCATTTGCAGTATCTCTGAACTGTAGTTGGACATAACGTGGAGAAGCATTGTTTTGGTATTGGTGCTGTGTAGCTAGCTCATCTCTGCTTGTATTTTTTGTAGTAGTTGCCCTCTCCTGTTGTTACTTAGCTTTTAATTCTTTTATGAACATGGTGGTGTTCTGTTCTTAGTACTAAGGATAGTACTAATTGACAACTGCCTCCCTGTGTGTGGATGTTAAGTCTGATGGATTCAGTTGGTTTCTTAAGGGTGGCCAACATGGGGCACTTGAGGTGATGTTGAATTGCAAGTCCCATTATTCTTCACTGTTGGCTGTGCTGGCTGGGACTGATGGAAGTTGTAATCCAACAATAGTAGGAAAATCGCAATCTATTCAAACATTCTCAAATTAGTGTGGCATTTGTAGGAAACTTGGTATTTTCCACAATCGGTTGTGGAGCTTGAGACATATAGTGGCTAACTCTTCAGTTACTTAGAATCAAACAGGACCTTTGGATAGTTAAAGTTCACATGATAAAATCAGCAAAGGCAGTAATAATGGCTGCCTTTCCCAAGATAACTTCCGTTTTGCAGATCTTGAAAAGACACTTGTACTGTTTCATTACACCTTTTATTACACCCTTTGCACATATGGACTCATTTCTACACTGCTAAATTGCCCAATTAAAATTACACAACTGTTAAATTTTAATCCTAAAATTATCTCCAGAATATTGAATTGAATTAATTAAACTATCAGAGTTATTATGAGTGTTGAAGACTATACTTTACCACTGCTTTTGTGTCCTCCTGTAATCAAGGTGGGTATCCGGTACCGGGCATACGGATTGGTTGTACTCAGAAATGGAGGGTTAAATCTTTCTGCTTTCCCCCATCCTATTGAATGCCATCATACAACCAGCTAGAACAGCAGTGAGCAAAGATGGCCTAATGTTGTTGAACTGTCACTCTCACCAGCCTAGCCAGCATAGCCAATCATGAAGGATTGTGGCATTTTCATTCCAAAGGCATATGTAAAGTCATAATTGCCTGTCCCTGTTCTAGAGTCTCATTGGAGTGTCTATAGATCCCTTCCCCACACCACCTAGGCTCTATGATACCCATAGCATATTAACTTTCTTCCTATTTGTCTCTTCATTTTTGCTTTTGTGACATTGTGGCTGATGACGATAGGTTATTTTGAAAGCTGGTATGCCCTTCCATGTCCTTTTGATTAATTAATAAACTAATACAAGTTTTGGAGTCTTTCTTATGGTCAGTGTGGCTTGTCTGCTTTCTATAAAACTAGTGTGTTAAAAGGAAGAAAACCATTTTCCTGAAAAACAAGTAATGAGTCTATTTTTAGATAGCCAAATGCTAGTCTGTTGGAAGCAACTTGTTTGGAAACAGAGGAAGTGGGAGCCATTTGACGTATACAGTTTTATCTCTTCTCACAAAAGAGATAAAATAAGATCCTCACCTAAAATAAGATCCATAAAAGGGGCAAATAGCAGATCTCTTGTGATTCCCTTGAGTGCTAAGAATGTGCCGACTGCTGAAATGGCTCTTGCTTCCAAGTATATGTACTTTGAAATCAGATCAGACTCACAGATCACTGTGATTTCCTGTGAAAGTTAAGAATTCTCTTTTCTGCTCCTAGACTGAGAGATGAACATTTTGTTTGGGCTTTGAATAGAAGAACATTCTGAATCTCACAGATTTCTCTGTGATGGAAAGAACTTGAGAGTTAAACAATTCACATGTAGGAGAAAGCAAAGAGACAGATCTTGTCATCTAGATATAAATTACTGAGTGCTGCATAGATATTCGGGTGTGCCTTGTGGGCTGAATTTGTTTGTGATAAATCTTTAAACATCAGGCAAGTAAAATGTGATCCTGCCCATACTGGGAATGTTTGTTGGATTTGACCAGGTGTAGATGTTTAACATTAAGAATTTCAGTCCGTCAGAGCATACTTATATTAGTGAAATATTTTGGAACATGTGGCAGTGTTATTTAAATCAATTTAAAGTCAGGTGGTGTTTGAATCACTATGCGCGTCCCATGGGACAACTTTTAATCCAGTGTTAAGTCTTGCTTACTGCAACTTGCTTGCCAGCTGCTAAATGCTTAGCTAGCAACGGTAGTGGCATCAGGAGGAAGAGGAGAAAAGTGAGCCTGTAAGTGTACCTGCCTGCCAAATCCAGCTGGAGCACAGGAAAGGGAATGCTGACTGCTGGCCAAGCCTAAATCGCTATGGCCTCCAACCTTGCTTACTTTTCTCCACTCACAGTGCGTTACGGCAGGCAAACTGTGTCATTCCACACATAGCATAGCACTTAGTACTTGATACTGCTGGTGCAATGTGGTCATTGTCAGGGCACTACCTCCACTCCCCTTTCCCGTGTCTTGAGTTCAGCCTACATCCTCTAGTAAAAGTTGCACCAAGCCAGCCCTTCCATGGCCTACACCACTTGATGGTCTGAGCAACAGGCAATTACAGCGGTTTATCCTCCTAGTTTCAATAACTTAACAGCATTTTAAGAAGAGAGATTAAAATAGAAAAAAATTCAAAATGACAGATCTGTCCATCTGTGCTTGAGCACAGTTATTGTGAGCTGGCTGGGATAGGTGCAGACGATGATTTCTGTGCACTTTAAGAAGCCCCCCACCCCACCTTACATACTTAAATCTGTCAACTCTTGCTTGTCATGGGAAATCTTAAAGGGTTGTAGAAGAAATAAATTTGCAAGGCTTTAAAAACAGCTCCAATTAATTACTTACTGTGGTGTTAACTTACACTTTCACATCTACCTTAGTCTTCTTTAATATCTGCATGTGGGCACTTAAAATTTGTGCAAGCAGTATGTCTGGGATTACAATTAGCATCCTGTAAGCAAGTAGTGTTGCCCTTTATTCTACTTCTAATTTACATTTCTTCAAAGATGGACTTAAACTGTGCAGTATTATGACCAGTGCATTGACATCCTGCTGGTAAAAGAAATTTGACCAACAACTCTGGGAGGAGGCAAACCTCCTTCCTATTGCAGTTTACTCCACTCTTCCTGCTTGTTCTGGGGGATAGCAAACTTTTCAGAGCAGAGTACTGAGTGATCAAGGGCTAGAGGTGGCTGGGGTGAGAAGGAGAACATCCTATTGAGTATATAAAGATGTGTGGTAATGGGAGTGACCCTCCTCCTGGATCAACTGACAGAACTGCTTCTAATAATGGATGTAAACCATTAGATTCTGACCTGTGAACTCACTCTGACATTGTCTGAATGTAGTAGTGCATGTGTCTAAGATGGGGGAGGGGAAGACTCATGTGAACAGCTTAAATGTGGTGTACGTTCTATGATAGTCTTAAGATTTGCATCAGGTAGGGAACTAATAGTGACAGTACAGTCAGATGCTCAGATGCTTGAAGTTGCAAAGGAGCTCTCCTCTTTTCCACCAAATAAGGATATAGACACTATATTCTGTGCTCTTATCATGATTATCCATCTGATTCCTTTTTTTCCCTCAGTCAGTTTCCCATTTTAACATATATTTTCCTTTGACAATTACTCTGGGATATATACTGGATAGAGTGTCAGACTAGGACTCAGGAGCCCTGGGTTCAAATGCTACTAAGCCATGGAAATTCACTGGGGGTTGGTAACAGTAAACAGCCCCTTGAACATCTCACATGCTTTGAATACTTTTTTTGGGTTGCTGAAAGTCAGTCGTGACTTGATGATGCATAACATACACAATTAGACTGATGATTGCTTTGCAGCAGTCTTCATGTGTCCACCAATTTAAATACAATGTGGTTGAGGGAAAAGCCACAGATAGATAGATTGACTGACTGATTTAACTTTTAGACCACCCACCTGGTCAAATGGTCACTCTGGGCAGTGTGTAGCCCTGAGATAGTATTGGCTTAGTTGAACAATAAGATGTCATCATGCCACTGGAAAGTAATTTTATTGCAGTGTATAGAAAACGTAATTCATGTCCATTGCTTTTTGGTCCTCCTATTTTAGGCTTTATTGGTCCAGCAGTACTGATCCATCAGGATGATTTGGATACTTCAGCTCTTGCTTTCACCGCTCCCAACACCTGCTGTGATTGGTCTTCTTACTTTTGGAACAACTGTCTTCTTATGGCTGATAACCAAACCAAAACCAGTTGCACCACCTGTTGACTTGAACAAGCAGTCAATTGGCACTGAGGTAAAAACAAAACACTAAGAGATGAATGGATGTTGTTGTATAGTCATTAAGTCGTGTCCAACTCTTCATGATCTCATGGACCAGAGCACGCTAGGCCCACCTGTCTTCCACCGCCTCCTGGAGTTGGGTCAAATTCATATTGGTTGCTTCAACGACACTGTCTTTATGGTCCAGCTCTCACTCTACTAGAAAAACCATAGCTTTGACTATGTGGACCTTTGTTGGCAAGGTGATGTCTCTGCTTTTTAAGATGCTGTCAAGGTTTGTCATTGTTTTCCTCCCAAGAAGCAGGCGTCTTTTAATTTCGTGGCTGCTGTCACCATCTGCAGTGATCATGGAGCCCAAGAAGGTAAAATCTGTCACTGCCTCCATATCTTCCCCATCTATTTGCCAGGGGGTGATGGGGCCAGTGGCCATGATCTTAGTTTTTTTGATGTTGAGACTCAGACCATTTTTTGTGCTCTCCTCTTTCACCCACATGAAGAGGTTCTTTAATTCCTCCTCACTTTCTGCCACCAGAGTGGTATCATCTTCATATCTGAGGTTGTTGATATTTCTTCCGGCAATCTTAATTCCGGTTTAGGATTCATCCAGTCCTGCCTTTCGCATGATGTATTCTGCATATAAGTTAAATAAGGAGGGGGACAATATACAGTCTTGTTGTGCTCCTTTCCCAATTTTGAACCAATCAGTTGTTCCATATCCAGTTGTAACTGTTGCTTCCTGTCCCACATAAAGATTTCTCAGGAGATAGATAAAGTGGTCAGGCACTCCCATTTCTTTAACTTGCCATAGTTTGTTGTGGTCGACACAATTAAAGGCTCTTGCGCAGTCCATGAAGCAGAAGTAGAAGTTTTTTTTCCTGGAACTCTCTGGCTTTCTCCATAATCCAGCGCATGTTAGCAATTTGGTCTCTATTTCCTCTGCCCCTTCAAAATCCAGCTTGTACTTCTGGGAGTTCTTGGTCCACATACTGCTGAAGCCTACCTTGGAGGATTTTGAGCATAACCTTGCTAGCATGTGAAGTGAGTGCTATTGTACGGTAGTTGGAGCATTCTTTGGCACTGCCCTTCTTTGGGATTGGGATGTAGACTGATCTTTTCCAATCATCTGGCCACTCCTGAGTTTTCCAAACTTGCTGGCATATTGAATGTAGCACCTTAACAGCGTCATCTTTTAAGATTTTAAATAGTTCAGCTGGAATGCCATCACCTCCATTGGCCTTGTTGTTAGCCATGCTTTCTAAGGCCCACTTGACTTCACTCTCCAGGATGGTCAGCAACCACACTATCTGGGTTGTCTGGGACATCCAGATCTTTCAGGTATAATCTCTCTGGGTATTCTTACCATCTCTTGATGTCCTCTGTTTCTATTAGATCCCTGCCCTTTTTGTCCTTTATCACAAAATGTCCTTTGCACATAATGTTCCTTTAACATCTCCAATTTTCTTGAACAGATCTCTGGTTTTTCCCTTTCGATTATTTTCCTCTATATCTTTCCACTGTTCATTTAAGAAGGCCCTCTTGTCTCTCTTTGCTATTCTCTGGAAATCTGCATTCCATTTTCTGTAACTTTCCCTCTCTCCCTTGAATTTTGTGCATCTTTCTTGAATTTCCTTTTCTTTGGGATGGTTTTTGTTGCTGCCTTCTGTACAATGTTATGAGTCTCCGTCCATAGTTCTTCAGGCACTCCGTCCACCAAATTGAGTTTCTTAAATCTGTTCTTCACTTCTTAACGGATGTGGTTTAGATTATATCTGACTAGCCCAGTGGTTTTTCCTACTTTCTTCAGTTTAAGCTTGAGTTTTACTATAGGAAGCTGATGATCAGAGCCACAGTCAGCTCCAGGTCATGTTTTTGATGACTGTATAGAGCTTCTCCAGCTTTGGCTGCATAAAACATAATCAGTCTGATTTTGGTATTGCCCATCTGGTGATGTCCATGTGTAGAGTCACGTCTTGTGTTGTTGGAAAACAGTATTTGTGATGACCAGGTTGTTCTCTTGACAAAACTCTGTTAGCCTTTGCCCTGCTTCATTTTGAACTCTCCACTATGACTTGTTCGTCTTCAGTGTCCCTGCACGGCGTAGCTCATAGCTTCTCTGAATTACTCATGACCCTTTGCCATGACAAGGCAGCAATCTGTGAAGGGGCGATAAATGGATAGGTTGCAATAAATGAATGGCTAAGCCTAGTTATCATTAGATGCCAATTCTACTTTTGCTTTCAGTCTCTCTAAGGGAGCCTAGAGACACTCCAAATAAAGTGTTGATGTTTGTTTGACTTTTATGCTATCCATCTGGCTGCAAGGCCACTCTGGGTGGTTTACAACACAATAAAACAATAACACATTGAAATACGTTGAGCATAATGGTTATACAGAATCAAAATTAAAATCAAAATCCAGCATAAATTGTAAATAAGCAAAATAACATCAATATCAACATAAATATCTCAAATTTAAAAGGCAGGATAGTGGAGCTGAAATAAACACTGAGCTTCCTATTGTGCCATTATGATGTAATCTCTGGAAAATCCTGTCTGAAAATCCATGTCTTCAGGGCTTGTTTGAAGATTCCTGGAGGAGGGTCAGGCAGATTTTTGGCGGGAGGTTGTTAGCCCATCACTACTTGTACTGCTGGCATCTCACAAATGGGTGAAACTTCATTGATGTTTGCAAATGTTGTATGAGAAGAATGTCTGCAATATAGATTCAGCACCAAAGCTTCAGTGTCACCTGGTTGTTGCAGTTTGGAGAAGCATTATCCACACAGCTGCTATCTCACCTGTATAATTTCTGCACATAGGGAGGAGCTAGAAGAAGCGCACTTGTAACTGATGGCAAGCTTCTTACTTACTACTTTGAGGATGCGAAGACCTTGTATGAAACTTTCCAAAGAGGACGCTATGTATCTGGTAAGCAGGGGTTTTATTCTGGGAAGTATGACAACCTAAAAGTGACTGTCATCAGTGTCCATGGAGAGGGAGAGCCTTTTCCTTTTAAAGATGCCTGTAAATGCAGTGTGGGAGGGCTCTTGGCACCTTTCTAGGAAAGAGGTTTTCACAGTTCAGTGCTTGAAATGGCATGATGTAACTTCTTTAGTGTTCGCAAAGTTGTGTGAGAAGATTGCCTACTGTATAGATGTCGTCTTGTTTGCATTTTTGAGTTGTAATCTGTAGCCACAATTGGAGGAGGATGAATGAATGAATGAACTTTCATGAAGAAGAAAGCATTTCTGCATAAAGCTGTCTAAATTTCTTTAATGTCACTTTAGCCTCCTCTCTGAAGTATCAGACATTTCATCTTATCTTTTCAGAAAACAGTTTGTGCCTCGTAGAGGGAGAGCCGCAAAACCACCTTGAACACACTAATTTTGATTGCATTTTGTAACTAAGCAGGTTGGGATCTGGTTAGTGCATGAATAGGAAACACCAGGGAGTACCAAAGATAGAAGTGTTAGGAAAGACTCCTGGTTGAATTCATGGAGGACTGCTGTACATCAGAGTTGAAATGGTGGACTAGATGGACCAATGGTGCATCTCACTGTAATGCACTTTCCTATGTTACAGAGTGTTCTTTGGAATGATGACACATGCCTTGCTTACTTATCGTTTGCATTACTGTAATGAACTCTACATGAGAACACCCTTGAAGGTGGTTTGAAAACTTCAGTGGTAGAGATGGGGATATTCGTATCCGATTAAGAATACAAATATCCCTATCCCAGCTGCAATTGATGCAGGTCTCGTCTCCGGAACCGGCCTGTCCATTCATGTGTCGCCATGTGTTTCACTCTTCCTGCCAATCGTTGAAATAGCGCCTCCACCTCCCTGCTCGGCTGGCCACTCCAGGGAGCGGTGCGATGCTGAATCTCCCCACATGGCTGCTGAGTGGCCAGCCAAGCAGGGAGACGGAGGAGCTACTTCCATAATTGGTGGAAAGAGCAGGACACTGGTGGCATGTGAGTGAATGGGCCAGTTCCAGGGGCTGAACCCACATTAGTTGTACCTGGGACCAGGATATTGATATTTGTACACAAATACAAATGCCCCACCTCTTTTTAGCTGCTCAAAAAGGCTGCAGTCAAATTGTTAACTGGAGCTAGTTACAGAGAACATATAGTTCCTCTGTTTCAACACTCCACTGGCTGCCGGTCTGTTTCTAGGCACACTTCAAAGTGCTAGTTTTGACCTATAGGTTTCTAAATGGATCCATATCTGAAAGACCACATCTCACTATATGAGCCTGCCATATATCATCACAGGAGGCTTTTCTCTCAGTCTTACCACACTCGCTGGTGCATTTTGTGAGGATGTGAGAGAGGGCATTTGTTGTTGCTACTCCCAAGCTGTGGAGCTCTTACCAGGAGGCCAAGCTAGCCCCATCTTAACTTTTCTCCCACCAGCAGGCAAAGACTTTTCTCTTCAGGGGCTTTTTCCCAGTTCCTGGTGGCCAGGAAGGGAATTTTAAAAATGGGGCTGCGATCTCTCTTTATTTTTTAATATACTTTTAAAATTGTTTCAAACCATTGTAGTTTAAATTAGGATTTTGGTTTAATCACTTTTTAATATTGCAATAATTGTATTTTTAAGTTTTCACTATTGTCTGTTTTAAAACTGCAAGTTTTCTTGGGTTTTCTTAGGGAGAAAAGCAGGGCACAAATAATAAAAAAATTAAAAAGAAATGGCATATTCATGGTTTCCATTTTTTTCCTCCTAGAAAATGGCCCCTGTTTAGGTTATCGAAAACCAAAGCAACCTTACCAGTGGCTATCTTATCAACAGGTTGGTTATAGAAAATAGATTTGGACGAATAGCCAAAAATCTTTCCAGATGGCAGTGAAGCTGACTATTTCTTGGCTTTCTAGGTGCTGGACAGAGCTGAATACCTAGGATCAGGTCTCATACACAAAGGATGCAAACCTTCATCAGAGCAGTTCATTGGCATCTTTGCCCAGAACAGACCAGAGGTAGGTTATGGAAAGTTGGATTCAGGGTGTAGTTGTAATGGTAACATGCCTGATTTGATATACTTGTGATCACTACAATATTCGGGAGAGACAGAACAGGTAAATGGATTATTTGTCCATTCATGTTATATTCATGGGGAACTGGCTGTGTCTGCAGTACTTACATAGTCAGTGTTAGGAGAAATTATCTGAGCAGCACTTAACAGTATTTTCATTTTTCAATGAAAATACATAAATGGCGCAACTCTCTGGATGGTTTATATGGTAATATTTAATTGTCTTGTCTGTTCTCATCACTATAAAAGTTCCTATGCCTTGAGAGTTTGTAGACTTAGATCTTCCAAAGTGAACAGTAAATACTTATAACTTGAATGTGAGGATTACTAGACTTGTTTGAACTTAAAAAATAGTATTCAATATATATCAAAACACAACGCTGAACTACTTTTCCGTGTTTTATTTTGCAGTGGATAATCTCTGAATATGCCTGCTACACTTACTCAATGGTTGCAGTTCCCCTTTACGACACCCTGGGCTCTGAGGCAATTGTGTACATTGTTAACAAAGGTAAACTTTTTGGTATTTGATAACAACAACAACAAATAGAGGTCTTATATATGTGAAGAATAAAACAGTTCTTGACAACAGAAGCATCAGCATTTCATAATGACTGGTAGACAGCTTAATGAACATGACAATATAAAAAAAATTGTGCGTTCAGAGTAAAGTAAAACGGATTGGCTTTTTAAATTTCACTTGTTTAAGTGACCCTTTGTGTTTTCCACATGATGAACCTTTTGTAGGTTAAGTCCTAACAGAGTAGTTGAGATTTGTTGTGAAGGAAACTTTTTCTCTTGGGAGGGCACAGCAGTAATGGACTTCCTGTACTAGTCTGAACAAGTTGGCTTTTCATTTAAGAGCATAGCACACCTTTCATCAACTTGCAATTACAGCAAGATCTAAAGTACACAAGCCTATATAATGATGGCAGCCTGATGGTCTGTCCTTAATTGCTTGGAAAAAGCAGAGGAAGATGTTTAACCAAACTCTTTGTTGCCAGCTGTTTTCCCCATTCCTGATCTCCCTGAGCAGCTGCCTTGTTCAATATAGGGCAGCATATATTGGGAACTGCAGTGGATATAACTTGCATGAGGGCATAATGTGGTATAAAACACCAAAACACAGTAAGGTATAACATAGCCTCAACACTTCTGTAGTCCCAATTACTCACCTCCACATTGGTCTTTTCAATAGAATGGACACAAGGGCTTTGACTACAGCATGTTTGGTTCTAGGTATGCTCAGAAGTACTGGTTCGAAAAGAAATGTAGGCTCTCTTGTCTCTAGAGCAAAAGTCGAGAATCTTTTGTTCTCTAGGTAGCACCAGATGTTGTAGTCCAAAGTCTGAATGTCCAGGGTTCTCTAGCCTTGCTGTAAAAGGCAATTTCAAGGCCTGTATTCCTGATGGAGGATTTAACTACCATTTTAAGTAGTTATGCATCTGTGCAATAGGGTGGCTGCTTGTCTTTTCTTAGGAAAGACAGTCCTTAATTGGAAGGGCTGCCAAAGGCTTCCTCCAATTATACTGTCTTATCTAAGCCTGATTCAAAGGTAAAGGGACACAAGGAGACCTTGAGGCTGCCCATCCATAGTGGGTACTGGGACAAAATACTTAGTGGGCACACGTCCTTTTTCCCAGGTGAGCCATATATTCAATTTTATTTAAATCACAAAACGCATTTCTAATTTTGCATACAAACTAAGAGTGTTTCATCAATCAATGCATTCTTTGGTCTTTCTTCCTTTGGTAACATGGAAGTGCTCGCTGCAGTCTGTGATCTTAAGTGGCATGTTTACCTACCTGCTGTGAATCACAGGTACTTTATTCTGGTGTGTGAAGAGTGTCAGTATGCAGTACATTTCCGCTGCATGCACTATCCATGTTTTTAAATGATTGTTGCATGAATAGCTGTCCCCCAAAAGGGAAACTGGCAGAAAAGCACTCACTTCTGCTGATATTCTTATATCAGTAGATACAACAATATCTTTTGTAGGTATCTAAGGGGTATCAGCAGTAACACAAAGTTGATAGCAATGCTGCATACAAAAATGCCAGCAAAGTATATTCTATGGGTTTAGAAGATGGAACGAGTCTCTCTGAAGAAATGGGCTCTTTCTAAAACAGTTACTGAAGCCTGAGCATTAACATAAGCAAAGATGGTATCTGTTTGGTTTGATCTCTTAATAAAATTGCACTGACAAATACATCAAGGAAAGGCATATTCTTCAGCAGGCTGACCCTGTATAATAACCTGAGTTCTCTGAATAGTGATGAGATGGAATTTTTCAATTGTGTCTGTGTTCCTTCAGCTGACATCTCTTCAGTGATCTGTGACAAACCAGAAAAAGCACGGGGGATACTTGAGAACTGTGAACAAGGGAAGACACCAGGGTTGAAGATAATTATCCTCATGGATCCTTTTGATGACACACTAAAGGAAAGAGGAGCTAAACAGGGCATTGAGATTCTTTCATTACAAGAAATTGAGGTATAGGATCATGTTGCTTACTGAATCTCCTTTTTAGAGAGATGGTGTCTTATGTGAGCTATAAGAATATATTTCATCAGCATGGTGCACTTTGGAATCCAGCTTTGAATGTGGGTTTGTTCAGTTTAAACAATACCACCGAGAGCTCCATTCTACGAAGGAATGGAAACTTCTGGGAGATGCTGAGGAACTTCAAACAGAATTCTTTCCCAAACTCCATATTTTAAATAAATGGCATTCTCAGCCTTCTATAACCTGGTGAACTCCAGATATTCTGGGTTATAACTCTTATTACCCTTCAATACTATGGTCTGGGAATTATAGGAGTTTAATTTCGATACATTTGGATAAAGCACCAAGTTGGGAAAATCTACTGTAGTGTATTGCCTGTAGCTTTTCATAAGCGTTCAGTTGCAGCTGTGACTTGGTTATAAAACTATTCACATGCTGGAGAGGTGGCTGTCTTCCTGTGCTACTAAATTACATTTATTTTATTTTATTTATTTTATTTTGCTTCTACACCACCCATCTAGATTCAAACGAATCTACTCTGGGCGGCTTACAGTCCACGCAATATAAAACAAGAATTAAAACAGACAATATCCCAACAAAAAAGAGAAGTATCCCAACAAAAAAGAGAAGTCAGCAACGTTCAACATGGGAAAACACAGGGAACTAAGTGATGGAAGGGGGGAAGGCCGGCCGGAAGAACCAAGTCTTCAGCTTGTTCTTAAAAACTCCCACCTAGGGTTCTAGGCCAATCTCGGGGGGCAAGACGTTCCAGAGGCGAGTAATTTTACAAATTACTGTGGCCTGTAGTGCTGGACAACTTCAGATATAATCTCTAGGCTTCTTGTCAATATGATCTCTAATATGCATTACAATTCATCCCTCCCCCCCCCAATTTTTTGGCTACCTTTTGCAAATAGAGGAAAATGTATAGTTTCAGAAGTTAATAGCGATACCTATAATTTATTGATAGGGGTAGTCAATACATTCTTCCAGCAGCGAATCTTTTAGAACTTTCCTGCCCATCAAAGTTGCATCATGAGACAGTTAACACAAATGTAAAGGTGCAGTGGTTGAAATCCCATAGCAGAACTTGTGTTGTGTAAGACTGATTACATCATCAGTTGTGGTGGTTTTCCAGAAATTAAAGACTTCCCTCATTTTATGTCTCCCAATGACTTTCCTGGTATGAAAGGGTTTCCAATTTATTTATTTATTTAACTTATATGTTGCCCACTCTACCCAAAGGTCTCTGGGCGGCTTACAACAATAAA